ATTCAGTCATCAGGTATTATAGTTCTACTGCAAGATATAAGGTCATTCATGCAGTATGAGAATATACAAGCTCATAAGAGACCTTTTATGAGCCATATTAAGAGTCATATGGTAGAAGGGACTTTAAAATAGTTTCAACTTTGAACAAATTAGTTCCTCAGGGGATACAAAGGATGCACACTGGCAAATCTTAACTCACCTGCCATGTATCATAAGCTGCATTGACCAGAAAAAGGGGGGTCTTGACACTTGCAATTAAGTGCTGCGGGAAAAAGCACTGAAATTCGAATGATATAGTTAATAATTAAGACTAAAGGGGAAACTTCATTTCTGAAATCGGGTTCATTGTATAATTTTTTCTTCTTCTTTTGCTTAGAGAAGTTCTCTAAGGATTAAATACGAGAAAAGAAACTACCAAAGTCGGGTTGAGGCGATTGGTACAACTCCATGGAAGACTCTTGTGTGCTCCCTGCAAATAATTATATCTATGTTCATAAAAAGTTGCCCAGATGAAACCAGTAAAAACTTGTAGGAGTTCTACAGTCAATGACAAATTGCATCTGTCTTCTGCTTTATTACCACTTATTATTACCATAGCTAGTTCATACTATCATCACATCCAACAAACTTACATCCACATAGATACAGCCCCATCTTTCTGAGCTACCTATCTGATTATTTTGTGGCCACTTGACTCTTCTAGTTACCATATTACTTTTTAGCACAAATCAGGAGACTTAGAAATCTACTGATTGGAAAAGTAATTAAGATCACTTGTATGGCTACTTTCAGCACACGCCTCCATAGCACCCATTTACATTTGAGGATCAGCAAGAATGTAATTTGGCATCTATAATTAGTCATTGCAGTTTCAATTCACAATAAGCACATTAGAATCACCTAGATTTTATCCCTTAGGACTAGAATTTTAAAAGGCGGATAAAGAATAATCTATTTTACAAAGGATAATACCTGTAGGCTAACCACTCGTCTAAACATATTTCTCAATGTGCGCCTACCAGATACATCAATTCTGCAATTTCAGAGAGCACCATTATTATCTGCGTAAAATCCGAAAGGCATGTCAAAAACTGATAAAAAGAAAAAGATTATTACGCATCAAGAAATAATCCAGCATCACTCAAGCACTTGACTCTAGTAGTTCCACGAAACATGGCACGAAACTCATCACAATGGAGTACAGTTGCAACACCACCCGCAGAACATCCAGAAAGAAGAGCCTAGAAATCCGAAGTAAAATGTATAACGTTAGCAGAAGAAAGAAACAAAATAATCTCCAAAAAGTCAGTTACAAAGACCTGATTAGCATAGCGCATTCCCTTTGACATCAAATCTGCCATAGCAGCTTCCCATATGCGTTGGCCTCGAAAATACAATTGGGCTGCCTGAGCATCAAATAATAAGCAACTATATTTCAGTCATAAGCAATGCAAGGTTGACCTGGCCAATCTATAAAAAATGGTCCTCCAGAGTGTTGGCTTTAGCTAAAGAAATACTGCTTGGTTTGAATGCAGCAAATGTCTTATAATAGAAATCTTAAGAACTTGTTACATCACAACTACCAGTATCTACATCAACTTTATTTTATTTGAGTTCCTCACATCTGGTGTTTGGAAATTAAGCAACAAAAAAATCTTCTATGAGAAAGTACATAGAAGCCTGTGATCATTGATTCCCACTTACCTCATTTTGACTGTCACCACCAAAAGATGCACCATCACAATATCGAACCTTGACTCTGTTCCAGTTGTAAAAGTCTGCAATTATTTATGTCCCATTCAGAATATCAGATTACTAATTACTCCAGAAAGAACTATGAAGGACAAGTAGAGCTTTATGTATAGATAAATAAGGATGCAGCCAGATATGCCACCGGGGTTTTCTCCAGCTTTGTTGCTCAATATCCCTGCAAATGGTATCTGCTTCTCCATATATGCTGATGAACCACGACGAGTTTTCTTTCGATAGACACAATTTCTGATTGTATCACACCATCCTCCTCCCTGTAAATAAAAGAAGTTTAACAAAAGGTGAGTTTAACAAGTAAAAGATTTGGGACAAGCACAAAAAGTAGGAATTCCCCATCCAATTCCCAGTATAAGAAATGCCACAGAAATGTAAGGAGCCCAGTAGGATGCTGCTGATATCCAATCCTTTCACTTTGCACTAAGCTGTATATGGTAACTCAGGCTCCCAGTCTCCCTCACAAGTAATAAATTGAACATCAAAATGAAAGAAATTCTTCTTAGCTCCAATCCAAGTTACCGGTGAGCTACCCAATAAAAGAAACAAAGTGATACCAAGTCTCTTCCCTGATAGCTCAGGATAAGACCGATTTCCTGCATCTCCTTTAGACCCATACAAAAGGCAAAGACGAACAAAATAACTTAGGCAAGCGAGAATCTTTAGATGGTAATACAACTGAACAATCACCCAATGATCTCAATTGTGATGATGATAAAAACAGAGCTATCATATTGCTCTCTTTCAACTGCGTGACAAGTCTTAGTTTACTTCCGATGACATACCTCCAACTGAATGAGCCAACTGTTTGCTCCTGACCCATATCCACGGTGGATGTGGTAACCGGGTAATGTTCCATCTAGGCAGACTGCACATAGAGAACACAGAAGTCAAGAAATCACTAAAGAATTTAACTAACAGTCTGCAGGGCATGCTCTAGTTTACTGTAATTGAAATATTTGAATAAGCCCTGGTTTTTATGCAAACATGATAATTACCATGAGCACAAAGCAGGCAAATACATTATATGAAGACCAATCATATGACTCAAGGCATTCAGGAAACAGGGTCAGTTCCTTTTCCTTAGCATTGTGAAATTGGCCATAGAAGCATTCAACAAAGAAACAGATGAGTTTTAACAGAAAAATAAAATGCTCTTGTCATGCCATTGAATCCACCCAATGATTTGAGAAAGAATCAAACTTTAAGAATAAAATATCAGAAAGGGGTATGCCTATCAAGACAAACCGTAATATGCAATAGATAGAGCTGATAAAGAGAACTTTTTATTTTTTGTTTCTCTTTAGTAATTAATACTAGTAGTCTAGTAGGCATGGTCCATGGAGGTAAGGTGAGGGATAGAGGCAAACCAGCTCCTGTGGCAGCAGCTCCATTGATAAGAGTGAGACCCACCATCAAGGGTCTGCTGAACACCCCATAACCATTAGGTCCATAACCATAGACATTACTCTCAGTATAATGCAAGTCTTCTTCTTTTGTACCATTCACATCCGCAAAACCATCCGTCCTGTACAACACCATCCCCATAAACCCCAAAACCCACAACAGCTTCATATTGGCTGACCTCTCACTCTCACATGCTTTGCCCAGAAATCTCTTCGCACAGCGAAACAATGGTAAAAGCTACACCTAAGACAATGTTGAGAGTATAATAAAAAGAACCCAAATGCTGATTAGAAAACTAGAGTTAAATTCCGAGCCTTTTCTTTAATTATTTCACTGTATTTCAGCTGAAGAAAGGGGGTGGTGCATAAGAAAAGAATAAAGAAATAGAAGGGGGTAGACAGAGATACAGAGAAACAGAGAGAGAATGTGACTGAAGGCGGGATGGTAATAATATGAAGAGGAATGTTGTCGTAAAATGAGGAAGTGAGCAACCCAACAGTTGGCAATGGCTAAAAATCAAATCTTTTATGAACAGCGATATTTTAGAATTCAGCAAGACATTGGAAAAGACAAGACAGTCAAAGTTATTTACTAAAATAAAGAAAATGGTGGAGAAGAAGCGGGAGAGAAATGGGTTTTTTTATATTTTGGTTAGAGCATCTCCAAGGGAGATGTCAAATACCAAACATCAAATTTAAATTTGATGGCTGATGTGGCAATTTGACATCCTGTATAGTTTTACATCCCACCCGATATGTCAAATTAAAATATTATTTTATTACATTAGTGTTGATTTATTTATTACTTTCTTAAATGAATGTATTTTTATATTTTAGTATTAAGAGTAATTCATTAATCAAGTTAACATACTTATAAATTAATTATAAAATGTAACATAAATATAATTAAACAAAAAAATCATCCATCTCCATGTTGGTTGATGAAAATAACATAAAAAAGATCAACATAAATTTTCAAGGGTAAAAAATTCAATAATATAGTGGTGTCAAGTGACGATGACAAAGGAAAATAATTAAAAAGAAAAATAATAATGACAGCATATAATGACAGCGGATACATGAAATAATAACAAGAAAAAAAAATATAGATAAGTATTAAATGAAATGATAAAGCCACAACCTGGGCAAAGAAATAATAAATTAATCAAAAGACGTCTCTAGCACTTGACGGCAATTTTGACAGCAGAGGCTTCATACGCCATTCCACATAGACTATAGCAGTTCGGTTGGAGTAAATTTCAGCTGTTATTTTTATCCGTTAAAAGTGCCACATAGGATTTGACATCTCCTTTGGAGATGCTCTTAGGTCAACTTGCATTTTTTCATGAGCTCACAAATTCTAAATTTAGGGTGGATTTAATGATGTTTTAGGCCAAGTGCCAAGATAAACGCAATCCACAGGGTAGCACCTAACTATTGAGAATGGCCGCCGACACTTTATTTAATGGCCAACCATACCCAGCAAAGCTGTACCACACTCACACTTCAGCTCACTCATTTGGTATCTATGCATGAACATGACCCCATACTTATAAATATCTAACATTATCATCCCCAGTAAGTGACATTTCAATGTCATGCATACCATCATGAGTTCTTATCCTAGACCTGCTAGTGCATATATCCATGTCCCACATTCCCATATGTTTTGTTGACAACTTCGATTTTATGTATGCACGAGAAATTATTGTATGGCACTAGAACACTGTCACATATAAGAAAAAATGACCTTATAATAATTATTATCCGTGATTGATATTCATACTAGAAAGTAGACATTCCGAAATCAAATATATTTTTTTTCCTTAATGTCGGGGTGGTACAAATTACAATTATACATGATGTTGTTGTCCATGCATCCACCTATATATATATATACTACTACTCTTCATAAAAACAGCCTTTCATACCATGATTGTTCCACGTTTTTTGACACAGAACTCAAAACTCTCTATGCATGAACTCAAAAAAGAGATAGTAGTTGTAGTTGGCGCCATCCAATTTCACTTGGCGCCGTTCTGTTTTTCTTCTTTCTCTTCTGCCTTGGACACAATGCTTACACTTGCAGAGAAAGATTGATCATTTTTGCGTCCACCGGCTTTGAGTAACATTTCCTCATCAAGTGAAACATCGTTCTTATACTTGTACCATTTGGCACACCAAACATAAACTGCAAAATTCAGCACACTGAGAATTGCCAGGAACCAATAGAAAAGGTCCGCGTGGCTTTTGTTCATGTCACGCCCTTCTAGCCACCCTGTCTTGCTCTTTGTCAGCTTGCTGGTGATCAAGTTAATGAGCTCAACCAAAACCGAGCTCAAGTAGTAGCCAATGGACAGAGAGAGCCAAGAGAAGGAAGTGGACAGAGACCTCATGCCAACAGGAGCCTCAGTATAAAAGAACTCCATGAGCCCCACGAGTGTAAACATGTCAGCAATTCCAAATATGGCATAATGAAAAGAGAGCCAGAAGAGGCTGATTTTGTGATTGTGGTGAATGATTTCATGCTTTCTCTTCACTTCTACAATCCCTGCTATGGCCATTGAGATGGCTGAGAGGACAAGCCCAACACCAACTCTCTGCAGGTGGGTTATGCCATTGGGGTGAGCGGTGATTTTTCGCAGAAGGGGAACGAAAGTAAATTCGTACACGGGTATGAGAAGGGACATGAACACTAGAGGAATCACTGGGATTGAGGCTGATGGGACGTCAAAATCGCCGATGCGTGTGTCCATGAGGGTGCCTTGCTGGATTGAAAGGGTTTGCAGTTGGGCTAAGCAAGTGTTCATGAGGATTGTGCTTAGAAGGATAGGCATCATCCTTGTCAAGACCTTCACTTCTTCCACCTGTGTGACTGTGCAAACTTTCCACTTTCCTGCTGCGTTCGTGCCTTTAGGGAGAACAGCTGCCTTGTCTAGCAATCTGCTCAAGTAGATATGTGGGACTTGTCAGTCAGTTTTGTTTATTTTATCGGGCATGCTTGAATAGCAAGTAACTGTCAAAGAGAACTAGTGGTGATAACAAACTAAGGCTTTGAGGAACCTGCCTGAATTGATTGCTGTGGGGGATGAGCTCTCCTCGAGAAACAGATTCACAGTCGCGTATTTCATACAATTCATCAGGACTCTGGGGTACCTCCAACCTCCAGTTCTTTACAGACACCACCAAAACCTGCACAAAGGGTCATAGAAAATCAGTACTCTGTTACTGGCATTACTAATAATAACCAAGTTATTAGCTAAGCAAGGGAACAAAGAGAGAGACCCCAGAGTGAGTGAGTGAGAGAGAGACCCCAGAGTGAGTGAGAGAGAGATCAGACCTCTAGAACCCTTATCAAAGGGCTTTCTCCTGGCACTCGAACACGATAATATGGCTTTCCCAGAGCAACAAAGATGAGACCAACAGCAGCACAGGACAAGGAGATGATAAATCCTATGTCCCATCCAATATTTGAGCTCACATACACCACAAACGTGACACCAACCACAGCACCAACTGTTATGCTAAGCAAAAACCAATTGAAGAAACTGGCTATGTACTTGTGCTCCTCTGGATCTTTGTGGTCGAATTGATCAGCTCCTAAAGCAGGGACAGCTCCTCTGATTCCACCTCCTCCAAGTCCCACTAAGCTAATCGAAGCATAAAACAGCAGGGCTTTTGTGCCATGCACACAGGTTGATTCTCCACAAGGTAAAGGTTGCAGTTTTGTGTCATGGGATTGAATTATGAGCAACATGTATCCCTGCAAGCCAAAACATATATATGCATTGATTAACATAAGAAACAAACTAATCAAATTAAGTATGTGGGAAGCTGGGAAGGAACAAGATTTACCAGCAATTCAATTGCACCGAAGAGTAGAGTCGTGTTGAGACGATTCATGTAGGCATCAGAGATGAACCCTCCAACTATTGTGAGCAAGAATGTAGTGCCCAAGTAATTTGTTGTGGTGGTTGCGGAGCCAGAGAGGTCAAAGTGCATGACGAACATAAAGTATAAAACCAGGCTTGCCATGTTAGCCACAAAGCCTATGTTATCCAGGAACATCATTGCTGCATATAAATGAAAGCAGTTTAATTAGTTGCTGCCTCAAATAATTAATTTCCTCCAGTTACCATATCGTACATTAATCGATCCATCACTTACCAAAGATAAAACAGTTGGCCTTAAATCCACCATGTTTTCGTTTCTTCATAGGTTCATAGGCTAAGTTTTTAGTGCCAACTTCACTGTCCAACCCCTGCAAATTGGAACTAACTAATATGAGAAAACCACATAAAATACGTTGTAGTTCTAAACATGAACAACCATGCATGTTACTTTACTTCTTTTGCTTTTGTTTAAAATTGTAATTACCATGGCCAAGGATGGTAGAGACTTCTGGGAGTAGAAGAGTGAGTGAGGAGAGAGAGACAGGGCTCCTGGTGTAAATGGTGAAGGAGGTTCTAATTAGATATATACATATATATAACAGAGTGAGCAGCATTGTACTACATTTAATAATAGGCAAGGAATTAATGTTTTGTTAAGAGCATAAAATGTTACGCCATCATCCCAATGCCAATGCCATCTAATTAGTGGTAGCATACAAAAACAGTGTCACACCATTTGCAAGACCAAACCAGCATAAGCCGACGGACCGGCCATGAGAGATCCAACACTGATCTCAATCAAGGTAGCTTCGACAGCGAACGGCTCTACCTTAATTTATACACCAATCATACGTTCTACTATACAGAAATTTAAAAAAATATATATGTTAATTACAAATGTCGTTTTCAAACATGTGATGTGCAACTACAAGGGGCAACATTAGATGACAGTTAGTCTTTGTTTAGATGCCTTTTTTTCTTTTTTTTCTGTTGCTTTTGGGGGTGTGAGATTCTAACGGCCTTTAGGGCATCAGATGCTTTGGTGGCTTTCTCATTTGAAGACCATAGCTACCCAACAAAACCGTCCAAATCTACCTCCCCTTGCCCTCCACATGTCTGAATTTACAAGCGGAGCTTCCAAAATCTCTTGGCTGCCAAAGTTCATACAAACTGAGTTGCATCATTGATTTCACATCCAATACTCATCACATTTGTATTTTTCGTCCATTTTTAATGCGCTTGACCTTCTGAACCAATATGCTGTTTATTAAATCTCTACAAACAAGAGCTTCAATCAAGTTATTCCTTTCTAATAATGCCAGCATTTGGTTGTGAAGTTACAGCAAAATTTTCGATGCAGATTTCAACTTTACCTCACATGAATTTGCTACTATATTCAATAACAAATGTAGACAAAATTTTGGAGTTGATAACATGTAGGGTTTTTTATTTTTTGGTAGACAGATCTTGTAGGGCATCGTCTTCTACTTGACTGAAATAGTAATGTGAGGCCAAACAAACGAGTATATCTGTGAGGATCAGACCCGCCACATCAAAAACAAACTTGGGAGCAAATAAACCCCATACCTGCAATTTAAACATGTGTTATGGGTTTTAGCTGTGCAAAAATTGTTGTGGAAACAATAATAAAGTTGTGTTAGAAAGACGGCTTTACCATTAAATGCCGCCTATGCATCGTAACACATATTATGGTGGCTGTGACTGAAGTTGCCATGATGAGCCCATAAATCATGTACACCTAAGACATCAACAATATCAACAATGACCAATTAACTTTCAAAAGGATCCCTTTTACAAGAACAAAGATTACAACAATCGTCTATACGCACGGAAAAAAACTTACCAGAGATAGTCGCGTGAGTATGAACTTCTTCCCTTTCTCGCTCTGACCCAGGCATGCGACAAGAAATGGAACTCCAAATATTGGAAGGATGAGAGAAAAACCAAATGTGTCCATTGTAAGAAGGATTGCTTGGGGAACTAGGAGGAACTCTTCAAACCTGAAAATAAAATGGGGTTTTTAATAATCTACATGGCAATGGATATAAGTCCTAGAATGTGAACAGTAACAAGGGCAAAAGTGGGAGCCAATCACTACTGAATCTTGAGCTTACAAAACATAATAGGTCCAAGTGAGTGCCAAAATCTCTAATGGCACATGTTGAACATGACCAATGTGTGGGCTTCCTCAGTCCCTTGGGGGCATGTTTGGTAGGGCTCACTAGATAGGACTGTCCTATATTGTACCTGAAACCCATGTTTGGTTTGAAAGGGGACTAATTTAAATGGGATTGTAGAGCCCAACAGTAAACAAAAAGCCTCACTAGCTCTTCCAATTTAGTGAGCCTCAAAATCGGTTCACAAAATAGCGATGTCGCTAAACAGAGAACGCGAGTCCGACAATAACCATCTTCTTCTTCTTCACCTAGAACTATAACCACCACAGACCCAGCCAAACCACCAGAATCACCACAAACCATCGTCAAACCCAGTCACTCGAACCAACCACCATAAATTCAAACCCAATCACTCGAATCAACCACCACCAATTCAAACCCACTGGAACCACAACCCAATTGAACCCAAATTCAACAACCACTGTCAAACCCAATTGAACCTTCCAAGAAATCATCCACCATGATCAAGAAAACTGCAAGGGAGACACCATTAACGGAGATGTGGGCTTTCTTGTATGAGACTGAGAGAAGGAAGTCATGAATTCCCAGTCTTGAAGTGGTTTGACAAAAATTCTAAAAACTAATTGGTACCCATTAAAGGATTCTTCCGGTAAATGACATAGAAGCCATCAAGTTGAACTTATGGAATAAATAGCTGGTATTGAATTTTCATCCTCTGTCTCTCTCTCTTTCTACTCTTTTTCTCAACCTAAAATCCTTGACCACTCTCTCTTTCTCTCTCAGTAAAGGTTACAGCTTTCAATTTAGACAGTTTGATTAAGAAGGAAGGAAGAAGAAGAAAGGAAGAAAGGAAAAAAAAATGGGGGGGATGGCCTCGGAAGGAAGAAAGGAAGAAAGGTAAAATAAATTTAAAAAAAGAGAAAGAAACGGGCTGGGAAGGAGAGGAAGAAGAAAAGGAGAAAAAAGAGAAGAAAAAAAGAAGAAGAAGAAGAGATAAGATAGTTTTAGCAATCTTTAATTAAAATTAAATATTAGAATTTTATTTTTTTAATTAAAATTAAATATTAAAATAATTATTTTTTAGTCCGACACAACACCAAACATAGGTCTTCACTATTTTTACAATCCAGCTTCTTAGTCCGACGCAGCACCAAACGTAGGTCAGGACTTAATCCAGCTTAGGCCAATCCAAGTTAATCCGAGACAGTCCTAGGATTTAGTCCAGTCCATGACAGTCCGCCGTGCCAAACGACCCCTGGATGTTACAAAAAGTTAATAACTATATACATGAAAGCAGATACCCATAACTCACCCAATAAAGGCAGCACCATATCGAAGGCCATCAAAAGCACACCTGAAGAAAAGTTTTTTTTTGGGTTATGAAACATAAGAGCGCAAAAGATGAGAAAACAAATTTATTACAGAAAGGTTCAACTCCAGATAAAAATGAAACTACTACTTTTTGTAGGAACAAAACCAAAGGGATTGCAGAACCTAACACAAAATGTGCTGAAAAGAGAAATCAGAAAACATGAAGGCCTCAAAGTGGGAAACAAACAACAAACCAATGACCAGTGCAGAAAAACAGGCAAACAGCAAAAAGGCTCCACTGTGTTACAGGAACAGGATCAAGCATCCTATTCCAACTGCCTCCATCTTTGACATCCAGTTCTATGTTATCCAGCCTCATTATGCAATAGCCTGTCATAAGGTAGAACAGACTTCTTACATATACCAAAAGTTTCAGAAAAAGAGCACATATTATTTTTAAAAACCTAATGTGTAATCCAATGAAACAACTTCTATGACTGAACAAATATCAAAATTTAAATAAATAAATAAAACAAGTCATGCAGAAAGGTGAATGCAAAAGTCTTGCATTCATGCAGAAAGAGAGTTTATTGGCCAAAAAGATTCCATTCATTAGAAAACTAAAGCACCAAAAATGTAAATACACGCACCTCCAATTATGAATGCTAAAGCAACCCAGGGCCCCTGTTTTCCCAACAGAATAATGATTGTTGAGCTCCATGCAGAAAACATGGCGACTGTTTTAATATACAAGAGATTGCTGTGATCTGAGGATTTCCTTTTACTGAACAGCTGATTAAATGTCAGTAATAACAATTGTCCAAATCCAATGGCATATATTAGTCTAGGAATATAACTTCTTCCAGTGCCTTTAAGCACCCAAGCCAGATTCAATCTGTCACTTTCTGAAGCCCAATGCACTGCTATTAGCATATAACTTAAATTAGTTCCCATGATAATATACTTCAAAATACCCTTTGAAGAGCTTCTAGTGATGGCCTCACGCAGCAAGAATGCCAATAAAATCAGGGCAACTACCGGTAAAGCTTCAGCAACAAAATTCCAAATTGGAAACCCTGCAGCAATCCTGAGCATCCACGAAGGATATGCATTCATAAATTCAGAACTAGGAGCCTGCTTCGACAATCCAACTTCAATAGTAAATCTGCAAATGGTGATCAGAAGAAGGAAAACAAATGCCTGCAATTATATCAGTGAAAAATGATCATTACAAGAAACCATATTTCTATTTTTCTGTCAGTTACACCATCACATATTTCTTCATAGAAAACAGTATGTTCGCAATATTTGATGAAAGGGTCTCGGTGAGGGAACAATTATAGAAACCTGAGGTAAATAAACAACTTACTTCTAATTTCATCTTCTTCTTCATGATTGAATATCGCATCTTAACTAGTGCAGTTGTAGCCAAAAGAAAGCATGCCACTTTTCCTTCTTCCACTGCTCTCAAAGTTCCCATCAAAGAAAAAAGAAGAAAAAAAGAAAAATTTAATTTCCCAATGTGAGCATTAACCATGGATTCTGTGCATCATACAGAAACGAACAGTACCTATTACTTACAGATGAAACTATTCGAGAGGAAGCTGCATGCACGTATGACCACCATAAAACAAGATAAAATCAACCCGAAGGAAATCCCAGAATCTCCAGATGAAGTAAAAGAAAAACCATATTGCTCCTTCACTTTCTTAATTGCAAGGAAGTGGATAAGAAGTGATATCAACATAATGCCAAGTCCAGTACCCATCATCTTTAAATTAAACTCAGTCCATTTGGAGCGGGCAAGTTCAGCAACACTTGCTAGGAATTCAGAATACAAATCAATTTGCCTCCTTAGAGCAGGCAATAGCTCATTGTGGCTTTCCTTTTTATGTAACAGCAACTTCTGTGTAGTATGTGACCATTTTTCCTCTGCTTTGGCATACATGCTTGCTATGTGCAGCAAGTCTTCATTGGAAAATCCAATAACAGATGAAGCTGAATAAATATCTATATATCTTTTTACCTAAACAAGAAGAATCCAACTGTTATTTAAAATAAATGATACCGGAGGGTCAAAAATTTTCTTTCGAAACAAAAGGTTGCGAAACAAATGTATGCTGACAAGGCATATCTTTTTGGAGAGCTACAATGCCCATCTCCAAGTCTGAGTCCAGAAAACCATAGAGTCAAATGTGCTTCATTTTGTTGAGCATATTCTAATGAATTTTGATGTCATGTCATCTGACAGGTTCTTATACTATTTCTGGGTGCCCACCAAATGATGAGCTTTCTTTCTCAAAATAAAACTGTCAAAACAGCTGCTTTATATTCTGATAAACATGCTGTTGGCGTGATATATTAGGTTTAGGGTTTATTATTATTTAATATAGTTAACTTTGTATACTTTGTA